TCAAGACGCCATTAAAGCTGTGGCTTTTCAGCGGTTGGTGTGACGCTTCTGGGGTCAGAGCCTGAGAATTCTGAAACAAGGGTTTTGTTCTACAAGCCTTTCTCTCAATTGGGTTGTTTCTAATTTTGTGAAGCAGATAAAAATCTGAGAGATCTTTCGTGGAAAATTAGAGAGTAAAAATGATGAGGATGAAGACGAAGACTACAGGGGTGTCACTGGCCGAGTTGAATGGAAGGTCAGGCGGCGGCGGAGCTGACTCGGGGCAGGGAGAGTGGGAGCTCAGACCGGGAGGAATGCTGGTTCAGAAACGGAATCCGGACTCTGATCGGAACTCGGTGCCTCCACCGACAATTCGGGTTCGGGTCAAATATGGGTCAATTTACCATGAAATCAGCATCAGCGCTCAATCTTCTTTTGGTAAATTTTATTCTCAATTTGCGCTTCTAAAATGGTATTTTTAGCATCATTCAAATTACACTTTGGAATTGGAATTGGAATTGAGAAATTTATGTTTGAGTGGTTGTTAATTACTTATGGTGTGTAAAATTGTGTAATTTTTGTTGTGCAGGGGATTTGAAGAAAATGTTGGTTGGACCGACTGGTTTGCACCATCAAGATCAGAAATTGATATTCAAAGACAAGGAGAGGGACTCGAAGGCTTTTCTCGACATGTCTGGGGTGAAGGACCGGTCGAAGATGGTGTTAGTTGAGGACCCTATTAGCCAAGAAAAGCGATACCTTGAGATGCGACGCAATGCCAAGATGGAAAAGGCTTCGAAGTCCATCTCCGAAATCAGCTTGGAAGTAGACAGGCTTGCTGGCCAGGTATTGTTAAAGAAGTGTATGCAAAGATTTTGTGTAATTTAGAATTTTGTGTTTTGGAAATTGAAATTTGGCTTTGGGAACTCTAGGTGTCGGCTCTTGAATCAATTATCAGTAAAGGTAAAAAAGTTGCAGAGCAAGATGTGCTTGTTCTGATTGATCAGTTGATGAACCAGTTGCTTAAATTAGACGGAATCATGGGAGACGGTGATGTGAAACTACAGAGGAAAATGCAGGTAATTTCGATTACTAGTCATGTTAGTGATCACATTCCATGGATTTTGCTCCACAATTTGAAGCACAACTTTAAAATGCGATCACAAATTTGTTTTGAAGGTAAAACGCGTGCAGAAGTATGTCGAAACTCTAGATGTATTGAAAGTTAAAAACTCCTTGCCTAGCAGCAACGGAAGTCAGATTCCAAAGCAAGTTCAGCAGAGGCATTCAAATGGTCATTCCAATGGGAATGGACATAGACTAGCACCGATTCAAGAGCATCAACCAAGGCGTTCAGTTGGCTATTCACCTACGCATAATCAGCAACTGCAACAGCAAGAACAACCGTCAGGGCAGTCGGCATCAGGGCCGGTAGTTGTGACCACACAGTGGGAGACATTCGATTCTGCCCCGGCATTGATCCCAGCCTCTTCGACATCCAAGGCCGCCAATCAATCTCCCTACCCTAGGTTTAATTGGGAATCGTTTGAGTAAGCCGCCATATACCATGTATTGTTTGTGTGTGGATGTGTTTTGATATGGTCGTCTCCGATGGGTTTGCTATATCTTGTACATTCTTTTCTGTACTTAGAAAATGTTTTCAACCCCTTTTAATCTGCCATTCAGGTCATCAGAAATAAATGGGGTTTACTACAATAGGGATTTATTATCAGTATGTTCTTTCTCGAATTCTGTTGTCCTCGAATTCGTTTTCCATTTTCTGTGGTTCTGGTTTTTCTTATACTCCATAAATTTGGCTCTCTGTATATTTGTTACTAGAGGAATTTAGTGTCCAAACTTTCAGATGTAGATCTCTGTCTCTTAATCCAATGATTTAAATTTGTGTCTCTCACAAGTCACAACTCACTCTCCCTCCCCATCCCTTAATGGCGGAGAAACTAACCTACACTTCTGATGCTGTGATTGGTTTGAGATACTAAACACGGGGAACGAAGTTCTTTTTCCCTAACAAGGCCCAAAAGCATTTAAGATACTTCCTACGAGAAACAGTAGTTATGTGTTTCTTGCATGAAGCAAGAAAATGCTTTTTCAAAATTCACTTGCCAGTTTATCAAGAATTGATTTCAAAAGCATTTTCATCAAAAACTCTTTCAGCCTTTTAAAAATACTTCCAAACGAATCCTACCACTATCGATTGCTTCCAAACGAAGCTAATGCAGAAGCTCCACTTTAACTACACCACAGCCACTCCTGCAACTAAAATGAAAACCAAGAATTCAATGATGATGGATGAGTTAAAAAATAATTCAATATATTGTCGGTCACTTTCCAGTGGATTCTCTTTGTTTTGCTTTTGGTGTCGGAAAAGGATCGTCGCTGGATCAATTTATTGGGAATCTTAAAGATTTCGTGCTCATGATCATTTCACCATTTATCGTACATTGTGTAGTCATAAATTATTTTAAAATTAAGATTTAAAATTAAATATAAATAATAGTTAACGAAAATTGATTGCACGATCGAGGGATTTCTAGAATTCCTATAAAAAGGATTCAGCGAAGATCATTTTCCTTTGGTGTCAACCCCTGTCGATTCACTTTAGTTGCAAGTCGTACAAAAGGAGAAGTGGTTGCAATTTGGCAGTACTACATATCATGGAATTAACATAAACGTTTCCAAGAGAACTCTGGGATGCAATTGTCCAAGTAGAACAATAATTGCTCACTAATAATGTATCTAATCAACTGTAAACTATTAACCAGACACGAGATAAGCCAGTTGACTAAAGCAGTATGCATGCTTCCTTCACTCGTGTCCAAAGGATCACTTGATAACAACGAAAAGAATCACTTGGCCAAGTTGATAAGAGGGCACATGCTTCATTCATTTCGTATAAATTCTAGAAGCAATTTTGTCTATGACTCATCTGAATGAATGAACAAAACAACATGCATGTATTCGACGCTCAGGCTTTTACCAGAACACAGTTGGCATCAAGCAGAACAATTCCCTTACCCGAATTTTGAAGGCATCAATCGAGTAGTGGAAGAAACGCATTGAGGCTTTTGTGGGAGCCCAAAATGACTCCTCCACTAAATAAGTCATTAGCACACCAAACATGAGGAGTGGAGCTACAATCAAGCAACATAAAACCCACTCCATTGAACATGGAGAAATAGAAGGTGAGTGGAACTTGGAGCCCAAGACTTGAATGCCTATAAAAGGGCAATAATCCCATCAACATGGGGGAGAGAGGTATGAGATCGTTTTATATTTTACAAGCATCTTGAACCATGACTAACTTGAGCGTCGGAGTGTTTTCTTGCAGGTCTTCCTCCTCTCTTATTGATAGTGAGCGAAGATGATATCTAAAGCTTCTCAACATGATTATAAGATTTACTTGTTAGAGGATTGGAGGAACCGAAATTTTCCGCTCCAACAGTTTCTCAGTTGATTTGGTTGGCATCGTTTGTAACGGAGGGGGAGGGAGAGAGCGTTTCGGATCTTGTGGGAGGAAGGAGGCTGAATGAATGTAAAACGTGGAAGGCATAGGCATGGGTTTCTATCATTTTCTGCGGAGGAAACAGTAACTGACATATTTCAGAGTTCAAATTCTTCCAAAAGTTGGGTTCCCATAAGTTCTTGGACTCCTTCGGCTGTGTGTGTTTGGGCTCAAGAAGGAAATTTTACGTGTTAATCTGCCAACTAGAAGACAGAAGTCATTAAAAAGAGTCTGTATTGGTTATGGCCTAGTCCATATTGATCGGCAAATTGGCCTTGGAAACATGGGCCTCAACTGAAAATGATGACACTGCCTCCAATAGTCCAACCAAGCTCGTTTGAGAATGTTTCTATAAAAAAAAGTGCTTCTGTTTATAAACATGTTTGCGTCTGTGCTTGCTTCTGAAATAAATAAAATAATCTTTTACCAGATAAAAGCGCTTCTATCTAAATTTGACAGCAAAATTTAGAAATGCAGAAGCGTTTTTTGAAAAAGTGTATGTCAAATGCTTTTATGTAGCATTTTCAAATTGCAACAAGTTTATAATAAAAATACTTTTAGCCAAATTTTACACAAACAGATCCAAGTGCTTTTTACAAAAGCATTTAAAAGTGCTTTCTGTAGTTATTCTCGCCTACGTATGATCAAAAGAATTTTTTATTTATCAGAAGCACTTTCAACTCTTTCAAACGCAATTCCCAACGCGCCTACGCATTACTCCAATTGTTAAGGGTTTCCATATATTTTTACCCACGCTCCCTAAAGCTTGATTTTGATCTCACTTTGCTCCTGTAACTTAAAAGTCACCGCTTTACTTCTTGAAACTCAAAATTCGTTCCACTTTAACTTGTGGACTCTCTCTTATTCTTTGAAACCCATAGGTCGTATGTGGGACCCAACACTTAATAAGCTCATGCCACATGTGCAGTAAATTCGATTATAAATCTCCATTATGCGTTAACATTCAACAATAAGAAAATATTAGTTTAAAAGAAATTGAAGAGGTGAAAAAAATAAAAATAAATAATTAGCATGGTACACCCAAATCAAACCCATATGAGAAGTTAATAGATTTAAGTCAATGTGGAGCGAATTTTGAGTTTTATAGAAACGACTTTTGAGTTTTAGGGGGTAAAATGGGATCAAAATCAAGTTCCAGGTGACAAAGTGGAGCAAATTTTGAGTTTCAAAGAGTAAAATGACGGCTTTTGAATTACAGGAAGTAAATTGATATTGAAATCAAATTCTGGGGAACGAAGCTAAAAATAAGCTTAAGCCAAATAAGCCTAACTCTCGCATAAGAAGAATGTATGGTTTGGGGTTGAGGTGATTTAAAAAAAAAAGCTAGTATGAAAAAAAGCTGGGAGAGTTTTTGGTGTTTGGTAAACACCCCAAACCAGCTTTTTTTTCAAAGTTTCAGATGAAAAAAAGCTAAAAAGTGGAAGCTGCAAAAAGTGGCTTAAAAAAGTGGCTTATTTTCAAAGTTTCTCCTAATTCCTCACACTTTCAGGAGGAAGAACAACGCCACCACGTCCCGGCAACCCAGCTCCAATCCGTTGATTAAGAATTGCAAATCGACGACCCGATCATCCATTTCTTCATCGCCACCTTTCTCTTCCCCTTCATTGCTTTCTCCGTTGCCATCTCTGCCTCTAGCTCTGTCATCAGAAATGGTGTTTCTCAGCCTTGAATGTGAGGCTGACGCGCACAATTTCAGAAACCCTAGTCCTGTAAGTTCCATTAAACCCTAATTTAAAGGTGGAGTGAGAGGAGGAGGAGAAAATGAGGATTGGGGCCGAAGAGGGAGCGAGCGTCGTCGTCCTTGCCGGAGAAGAAATCGTCGTCTAAGGTTCCGACGTGGGTGAGGTGAAGGAATAGGCGGTGTCGGTGGCGAAGAGAGAACGGAGAAGGGGACTTGGCTGGACATCTGAGAGAGCGGTGGTTGGTATTGCCGACGCCAACTAGGTCGAGGCAGGAGAGGAAGGATTTGAGAAAAAGGTCGCGGTCAACAAAGGAGGTGAGGAGGTGGGTCCCATTTTCGACGACCATGCGGAAGGAGAAGATGAGGAGGGAGAGGAAGATGAAGGTGAAAAGGTTGCCAACGAACGACGTCATGGCTTGTCATAGCATATCTAGTATTATACCATTTTGGTAATTTCACACAGTCACAACTGTTTTACATAAAAATTTACCAAACACTATCATATTGTTTTTTTTTTTTCCAAAAGCATTTTTACAAAAAAGTTTACCAAACACTCTGCTATTTTATTTAACAGCTGCTTATTCTCACAGCACAGCAGAAACAGTTTTTTTTCAAAGCACAGCAATACCAAACCAACCCGAAGAAAAACAAAAAAAACCCAACCCTTGTTGGGTGTCCCTTTTTGGACTTGGAAATGCACAGAGACCGTGTTGAGAGAGAGAGAGAGAGAGAGAGAGAGAGAGAGAGAGAGAGAGAGAGAGAGAGGATATTTTAGTTGGTGGGTGTCCATTTTTGGACTTAAGCGTGCATGAAGCTAACTTTAACTCACAGTCAAATTAATATATTTTTTTTAATATTTTAAAATCAACCTCGTGAACATTGTTAGCATAGCTAATTAACTGTAGTTTTGTCTATTTTAAAATTAAATTAACATGATCGTGATAGAATCTGATAGATCCATGCACTATCTCTTCGGTTTAAGATGGTGGTTTTGTCAGTAGCTGGGAACAATGACGTTTGGATAAGGTATACATGTATGTCTGCGCGGTTGATCTAGTAAAATTTAACGGAAAGTGAATGAACTTATCTTACTCAACGCAAACATATGTTGACACTTGTATGTCCCCAAATCTCCATGCAAATCCAGTTTCTCCCTCTCTTTTGTACAACTTATACATGAGTGTGACAATTACATGGTTCGACCTTTTGTCTTTAAAATAATGAATAAAACTAAATTAGGGTTTGGTCTTTACATGTACATAACACAATACATTTATTGTACTGATTAATTGAAAAGAATTGTTATTGTCACCAGTGGCGAAGTCATGATTTGCCAAGGGAAGGGACGAAATTCAAAAGAGTGCAATGTCCAATCGAAGCGGTTGCTTTCACATTAGAAAGTGCAAAGTTTTGAGTCATTATTCATAACAGAAAACAATCTCTTCACCAAAGCGGTTGTAAGCGGTAATATCAAAGTCATGTAAGAAGTTTAAATTGGTTAGGATTAGATTCTAAAAAACATTAGGCGCTAGTCAGGCAGCGGATTGAGGCCTAGCAGCTAGGCACCTAGGCGAGATTAGGCAGGAGCCTATATGGATTTAAATAATTTTTTTTATTGTAAAATAAGCATTAAACAATATTTACATTATTTTTTAAAAATTAATACAATTTTTATAGATAATGTGATAGTTTAAGATAAATACGCTAGGGGTCTTAAAAAGAGGGAAAAATACACACAAGAATAATAATAAAAAATAAAAAAGAAGAAAATGAAATGAACCACAAAAAAAGGTGGGGTCATAAGAGAAAAAAAAAAGGATGGGAAAGGACCATACTTGGGTACTCCCAATTTACTCACTTTATTATGTGGCCCAATAAGATTGTAACATTTGTCCATTTATACTTTCTCATATCAATGTAACCAAATACAAATTTTCCTTTAAACATGTGACCAAACATAACCTTTCTTCTTCCTCCCTTCCTCCCTTCCTGCCAACGCCAGAGATCTCAACCCCTAGTCCCTTTCTCCTTCGTCAAGCACACACACTCCTTCCTCCAACGTTTCCATCGATTATAGTCCAAATCGAATATGACCTTATCACCACCAGCTTATCTATGCGGCAAATCTCAATGCCCTAGTATTTTCTAGACTTATCCTATGTGACTCAATATCCAAATTCAATTGAAGATAATGTTTAATCGAGAGTGGATGGGCTGAACTAGCGCTCCTAGGCATGTTTTCCTATGAAGGGAGGGGCGGCCGCCACTACTCGCCCTCATGTAGCTTCACCACTGATTGTCACCCCAAAAATCTCATTTCGCACTCCAAACTTTTTATAATTAGAAAGAAAAATACACATGTGAAGATGGTATGATGAAATTTTGGAATGCTAATAACAATTCTCTTAATTAAATTGACATATTGATTAGGCCAACATATGATTCTTGTAATTTGCGCAAAGTTCCATTTTAGTTATGTAGTCTATTGTAATTTAACTCATTCTTTTTAGTAATGTTTTCGTTTTACTATTTAGTTTTTGTGATAAAAAAAATGGTTCATTCCTTCACAAAAGAATTGAACAAATACAGGGCGACACATGAGTACATATTCTCTAGTAACCAATTTTTTGACCAGAAGCACACACAACACCACCGCTAAAAGCAAGGCCGCATCAAACCACCATTGAAACAAAAAAGCCACAACAAACTCATTGGAGTGACACAACCCCATTACAAAGCAGCATAACACAACACAACACAACACAAAATAAAATACAACCTAAAACAAAAAAATTACCTAATCCGAGGAAGGACTACCAATCAACTTCATCTTCATCTTGAAGACTATACTACCAGAAAGATCCATAACCTCCGCCAGAAATAAAATATTGCTCTAAAAACTAAATACCTAGGGCGACAAAATCAATTGATCCAGTCGCCCAAGGCGGCCAAAATGCCAGTTCTCATTGCTTAGGGCACGCATCTGTCAGATCCAGTCACCTAAGACAGTCATCCACCAAATATGGAGCCACATAGTAGCAGAGCAACTATTCGTGGCTAGAATTTCCGTCGGGGATATCTTCTAGCCGACGAGCACACAGCTCCCCGAGAGGTTGGCGCCGGTTGATGTTTTCTGTCGGGCTTCTGCTTCACTGGCGGGCTTATCGGGCAAGGCTTGTCGGGCAAAGCTGAAAGAGAAGGACAAAGTTAACTTTGAAATGTGCCTTCGTGGGGCCTTAGGTGTAAGCCTTGAGGCTCACAATCAAGATTAACTTTTAAGTGCTCAGGCGTGCCACTGCCATCTTCAGCATGGCAGATGTAAAACGGATGTTGAGTTTTAATTGTATATATACCCGAGAGACTATGTTAGTTATGACAGGTGCCTTTGTGGGGCCTTAGGTGTAGGCCTTGAGGCTTCCAGTCAATAACTAACTCAGTACTCGAACATATAACGTTCGTTTCATTGATTGTATGCGTCTTATAACCATTATACTTCTGATTACCTGAGCCCGAAGAACAGAATGAATCCAAATAGGTGCCTTTGTAGGGCCTTAGATATAGGCCTTGAGACTTCCCATCAGAATTCCTTCTATACTCAAACGTTCTAGCCCGAGGAATAGAATGAATCCAAATAGGTACCTTTGTAGGGCCTTAGGTGTAGACCTTGAGGCTTCCTATCATAATTCATTCCATACTCAAACGTTCTATGGTAATCATAATATAATAGAAATAAAACTAAGGGATAGGTCGATTATTTGCGCCTCAAGTAACTTCGGACTTCTTGTTATCAAAGCTTGTCATGGATGGGTTAAGTCCACATAAGGTTCTTTTTTATGCCTTGAGGCCAAGGACTTTTAAGTGATCAAATCTTACATGCCCGAGGGCTTAGAACTTAGATCTGGTTTGAACTGTGAAGACATATTCAAATCGGATTCAAGCACTGAAAGAGTCTTTTAATAGTCATCTTACTAGAAATAACTTGAATACAACTTGAAGTATACAACATATTGCTAGGTTAATGAATGAAAAGACAGAAACAAAGAGGGTCGGGCAAGGTTTAACCTTGTCGGGCAAGGCTGATCGTCTTGCAACTTCCTATCTTTGTGGTTTATCAAGGGGGTTGAGAGCTTTAGAAAAGGGGTAGGGAGATGAGTTTACAGAAAGAAATCGATACTACAGCAGGTTCTTGACAAGGTAGCAGAGCTATTACAAAGGGTTTATCTCGAGAGGGATGAAGGCTTGGGCTGAATACAACTTCGTTTTGAAGGCAAATATGGCTTTGAGCAGAGTTTGTACTTGTATTTGTTTGTTTGATTGAGTGTGGTTAACTCTGATTTCTCTTTCTTCTTTTATAGACACTTTGGCTTGGCATTCTGTAGCAGTAATCTTGCCCGAATGCAGTTTGAAGGATAGTGACTCATCAGTTATTTACTTGTACTGCCACTGTAAAGTACTTTTGGGCTGATTAGCTGGCTGGTCTATACCACTTGATCTTTGGGTAGGTGAGCAAGTGGTACAAATGATCTGCACAAATGCCTTTTCTGCCTTTTGGGCTTGGGCTGGACTTCAGGCTTCTCTCCTCTTTTTGGGCCAACTCCCTTTTGAGCCCAAAGTTTAAGTTTTAACCCAAACAGCAACCATATCAGAACTCCTAATGCGGTGGATTTAACCAATGTCGTTGCCCATGACAGCGTGAACCCCATATCCCAATGCTCGGGACAACGTGGCTATCAAATTTGATCCCTAATACGGCTTTGATTGTCAGATCTTGGCCATACGAAGCGGTGCAAGTGGTAGATCCTTTACTTGGGTTTCCATGACCATCGAAATTCGTCTAGAGGTATCCCATCTAATCTAGCTGCAACGAGGAAGCTGCCGCAATGTTGAACCAACATGTCGATTCGACCCAGTAATATCTATTGAAGTCGCTCACAAAACAGTGGGGAGAAAAGAAGAAATTGGATAAGGGTCAGGCTGGAACATTGAAGAAAAGTTGAACTGAAAAGAAAAGGAAGAGATTGGGGCAGAAGGTGGAGTGGAGAGGACATCGAGGGGAACAGAGAAACACATAAGTGATGGGTGGGAAGAGGACAAAGAGGTGGAAGAAGGGAAGAAAGAAACAGAGGTATGGGGAAGTAGGAGAGATGGCAGAAGGAGAGAAAGAGGGAAGAAGCAGAGAGAGAAGCAGAGAGAGATGATCGGGTGAAAGGGCGAATGAAAGTAGGCAGAGAGGTCTGCCACCAGTCCCATCTTAGAGCAAGGGGCCGGTGGCTGAATGGAACCTAGATCTATTGTTTTTTGGCAAAAAGTTTTTTGCTCGGAATTATACAAGTATTAAGTATAGAGTTTTACATTTCCAAAGATCCCCACTAATGAAAATATACCATTAAATCTTCTAAGATTTCTTTAGGTG